AAATTAATATATATATATATATATAATAAAGAAAATTGTCTCATTTTGCATACTTATTTTTTTAAATAAATTATCCTTAAATTTTTTTAAATATTAAAAAATAATCATTCTTACAAAAATAAAATTCAAACTTAAAACCTTTTAAGTTTGAAAATCAAATACAATACTGATTATCCAACATTGATAATTTTTAAATATCTTTATTAAAATATAAAGATATAAAATATCTCAACCCTATTAATATTATATAAAGATAAATAGTTTGATTTAATGTATATATTTTTTAAATTATTTTATTTTTATATTTTTAAACAATAAAAATAATATTAAAAATTAATGATTCTTACAAAAATAAAACTCAAACTCAAAATCTTAAAATTTGATAATTAAATATAATATTACTTGATGTAATAAATATTAATAATTTTTAAATATTTTTACTAAATAAAATTTAAAAATATGAAATGTCTCAAATTTACTAATATATTAAGATAATTTTTATAGAATAATTTATGATCGATGAGAATGTAAAATTATTTTATATTTCTTAGGCATAATATTTTGTTTTATTTATTATCCATATGACGGTATAACTTTAGAAGAGAATATAATTTTTTGACATGATATCAAAGATTTCTGTAACTGATTGGTCGGTGATTTGATAATTGGTGCCTCTTTTGTCCGTTACATTAAATTTCATACGAAGTAGTGGAGGGAGGAGTGGAGCTTTTTTTGTCCTCATTTCAATTTCATTAAATGCATAATTTTGCGACCGTACTTAATACAAATCAAACCTATTCTAAAATTAACATAACTTCTATCCTTTTTTTCACACATCTCATTCACTTCACATATCCATTTATACATGCATCATCTTGCATTTTTTTTACTCTTCACTTATTTTAGTGGGTAGTTTTAATATTTTTTATTTCACATTACTTTTTCCTCTTTTTCCCTTTTAGTTTTCACGTTGTTAACCTCTTCCCCACTTCTTTTAGTTTTCACACACACTTGAGACTTAGAACTAGTGCACAACAATATTGTAGGAATATGTAACTTTCTTGACAATTTCAAAAGTAATAAGTTAGATATGCTTTTTTTCTTTGAGTATTTCCTCTCTTTTCACACTTTTGAAAATTATAACATTAAATTTATTATTTCAAAAAATACTTTTCTCAAGTATTAATTTTAGTTCTAGAAAGTACTTTTTCGAAAAAGTGAAATAAACTTTTGAGAGTCTGTTCAGAGCCGTTGTTTTTGTTTTGGCCCTTGGTTCAATATTTTCATTTTGGCTCTTGGTTTCAATGTTTTCATTATTTTGTAATGATTTTATTCTGGGAAATGCTTCTATATAGCAGCTGGCAGAGCACTTAGAAATGGTTCAATAAACATGGATGTCTTCCTTGCTTTGGGAACTACAACATCCTATATATATTCTGTTTGTGCTCTTCTGGATGGTGCCTTTACTGGATTTTGGTCTCCAATATACTTTGAAACAAGTGTTGTATTGTTGGGCAAGTATTTGGTGTGCCTTGTTTTATTCACAAAAAATGAAAGTGAAACTACTTCTGTTTTGTTTATTTTATACTTAGGCTCAAAACTTGTCAATCAGGGGTGTTTTATATTTCATGAAATCTGCTTGATTAACAAACAAACTTGATTACTGAATTTTCAAGTATTTTAACATATAGTTTTGTTTGTAGGTTATCATGATTATATGTCATTCTTGTGTGTTATATATATATATATATATATATATATATGTTTATTACAGGTAACCAGAAAAAATAAAAAATAAATAATTTTTTTTAAACTACAATCTACATCGGTTGTAAACAGAACCGATGTAGATTTGTGCACAAATCTACATCAGTTATACTGGAAACCGATGTAGATTGGTGTGCAAAATCTACATCGGTTTTCTTATAACCGATGTAGATTTGTACAGAAATCTACATCGGTTTGTCTGACAACTGATGTAGATTTTGCACAAATCTACATCGATTTTGAAAACCGATGTAGAAGAAAATGTGTTTCTACATCTCCCAATTCTACATCGGTTTTCGAACCGATGTAGATTACTTATTTGAACCAATGTAGATGATAGATCTTGTAGTAGTAGTAATCACTAATTTGTTAAAACTCCAAATGTCGTGTTTTGGGTTTAGGGTTGAGGATGAAACTCACTATCATTAGCTTACTAATTAAGGAATAATAAATTAATATATTTAAAAATATTTTCATTATTAATTTCAATTATATATATAAAGGAAATAGATACTTTTTAATTTGGGGTGTACACATTTTTTTCCTATAAAAGCACTGTTTTTTTGTCGATCTCTAGTTTTATTCACAAGTGTAAAAGAGGCTTTTTACGTCAGCTATTTTAAGTTTTTTACGTCAGAAAAGCTTTCGACGTAAAAGTGGGAGATGTAAATTTACGTCAGCGTTCTGGACTGACGTAAATTTACGTCGGAGATTGGCAAACACCGACGTAAAAAGTTGAAAAAACCTATAAAAAAATTATGCTGGAATGGGCCGTTCTGCAAGGAGAACGGCCCGTTCTCCCTGCAGAACGGCCCGTTCTCCTTGAGAATCGTGTCCCTAACTTAAACTGGTAGTCCATATTCAAGATCCAGAAGGCCCGCTCTCCTGAGAGTCATGTCATACTCTGCTCCTGTCTGCAGCCAAAGATAAACATTAGGATACCATGTAATTTGGTGAATAAAGAAAATAGAAAAGCATGGAGTGCTCCCAACCAATGGCGGGCGAAGCATGGAGAACGGGAAGGGAATCTGGTGAAGAACGGGAAGAATGGAGAGGCGCGAGAAGAATGCATATGCTACGTGTTGGTTATCGATCTTGGACGTTGAAACACTTACAGTAGAAACTCTTTAAATTAATAATGTCAGGACCGGAGAAATTTATTAATTTAGAGAGTTATTAATTTATCGATACATTAATAATTATTAATTTAAAGAGATTTTAAGTAATTATACTGTACATACCAAACAAAAAGGCAAATTAGTCTATGCCTCTTAGAATTACGTTGCAGCGAACCTTGAGACTCAACGTAAATTAGTAACTTTTGAAATACATATGCATTGAAAATCAATACGTAATGACTTTTGAAGTACATATGCATTGGAAATCAATAATGACTTTTGAAGTACAGTAAATGTAAACAAGAAGAACAAATGTGTTCAATGTATTCTTAAGCAAGTTTGGCATATATAAATTACATGAATGTGTTAGAGTATTCAAACCATATCTCACAAGA